AAAATGCTATTGATTGCTTAGTAGCTGCTGTGTACATCACCCTGGGACATAGATCGCTCATGGCTCTAAAGAACAGAAGTCAAACAGCTAATGATAGGACCCAGCAGAAGGCAGCAGGAGAGGCCCACAGTACAGATGCCTAGAAAATACATCACCGGCTCAGTAGGTGTCAGCTCCATGGGTCTATTTTTTTTTATTTTAATAAAACATCACAATCAGTTAGTTTTAGAGAAAATCTAGGAGAGAGACGGTCTTAAATTCTAAAAGCTAACCACACTCATGCTATAAAGCACAAATCACCTAGATTAACTTGCGGTGGACCTTAGTCTGCAGGATATCAATTTATTGATTTAACAAGTAGGTTTGGTGATAGAAGCAGCCCATAGGCACCTTCATACAGCCAAATGAATATCTTCAATATTTGACCATAATACCTACTTCGGCTTTTGTTACCGATTTTACTGCTATAAATTAAAAATCTATGCAGTCTTTTGTGTCTTAAGTTTACTGAAATTGAGATCAGTTTCTACCCACACAGGAACATAGTCCTGAAAATGTAAATTCCACACCCCTAGTTTTCAGAGAGAACTAAAAATACTGAGAATGTGTGTTAGACTATACAGTAGGATGGTATCTAGCTCATTTTCAATTTCAATTTTGGTTACTGTTCAGGGCAAAAGGTGAGATGTCAGCAACAGGACATAGTCAAACTTATTCTTGGGCATTCCTTAACAGCCTTACTTAAGGGCCGGGGAAATTTCTTATTCAATAAAGTGTCTACCACACCATGCAGGCATGAAGACCTGAGTTTGATTCTTAGTACCCATGTAAAAAGCCAGGTATGATGGTGTGAGCTTGTAACCCCAGCACTGAGGAGACAGAGACAGGAAGATCCCTGGGGAATCACTGGCCAGACAGCAATTTGGCAAATTGGGGATCTTCCCACCTCCCAGAGCAAGCTAGGTTGCTAAACTAGGCCAATCAGAGAGGTCTGGATTCAGCAAGAAATTCTTCATCAATAAATAAACTAGAAAGCAATTGAGAGAGACACCCAATGCCAACCTCCACACATACATGTACACATGAATGCACATACACCTGTGCCCACCTACAAGTGCAGGCATGCATGCTCATGTACATGCACACACACATATACACACACACAGTTGGAAAAAATAGTGCATATATTATCCTGATTGTATGTACACACCTGTGAATTCACCATTGATATACTGAATGGTCCTGTCACCAGGCTTCCTCTCTGCCCCTCGTCACCTCCTGAGGTCTAGGCTTTTCTAGCCATCATAGATCAGTCGTATTTTATGCTGGGACTACCAGAGGGCTGCTATGCTCCATCCCCATCTCCCCATTTCCCACTGAGCCAGCTTCCAGCCCCTATTGCCTTCTTTTGTATTAAATAGATGTTTCCCTGCATTTGGCCGTCCTCCTTTCCCTGTGCCATTATCATATATATTTCATCTGTATATATTATAGACCCTACCATGCAGCTTCATAATCACATACGGAGTCTCATGCATCCATCAAGCCAGTGTGCATTTATCACTTTGTCACTCATCACATTGTAAGCTCAATGATATAGTTTCCTAATTGTTCATGCAATTGTCTTTTAAATCAATTAGCAGAAGACAACAAGAACACATCTATTTATATTCTCTGGTAATTTATACTGTCTTTCAGAATTACTTATCTAATTACCTTTACTGGCGCTTTATATTTCTTCATACGGACTTGGGTTAGAGTCTGTTTACTTGCAACCTGGAGAATTTCTTGTAGCATTTCTTGGATGCAGATACATCTGCACTCTACCCCAAGCAAAGACAGTCCTTCTGCTGTACCCTGGTAGAGATGCAAACTGGTGGGGAGCCTGGGAACAGAGTGACAGTAGTCAGAGGTTCAACTGCCTAGGATACCACTGAACCATCCAGACTCCAACAGATAAAACAGACAAACAAAAGCTACCAACCACTTCTTACTTGGGCGTGCTTGCTCATTTTCCAGTGTTCTAAATGGGTTGTTTTTGACCATTTTGTCTAGTTCTGTGCTGTTGTTTTAGAGAGAGAATTTGCTGAGAATTCTTAAGTACTATCTTACTGTTTTGTTTGTTATATTATCCATCTTTTCTTCTTTATGATTGTTTTTTAAAAATATTTCCACACATGTATATATTGCGATGGTTTTATCAACTTGACAGAATCTAGAGTTACCTGGGAGATGGGCATCTGGTCATGCTTGTGAGGGATTATCACGACTAAGTAGATTGAGGTGGGAAGACTTGTCCACTGTGGGTGGCACTATTCCCTGGGCCAGGAATTTGGACCATATGAAAAGGAAAAGGTGAGCTGAGCTCACTCTGTTCAGCTTCTTGACCATGGAGGGAATGTGACCGCTGCCTCAAGCTCCCTGCTGTGACTCCCTGCCATCACGGACTGTGGGATAGAAGAAACCATTTCCCCTTGAGTTGCATCTGTCAGAGTATTCTAACACAACAACAAGAAAAGAAACTGGAGACCTTGTATGATGAGCATATCCTTCCTCACATCTCTACTTCTGTCTTCCTTCCTTTAGTCTCCTTGGTCCCCACAGTTAGTTGACTTTTATTTTTGTGTCATGTACTCATACTTTATCTTATGCCACTGTATAAAACTCAAGAAGCACAGATAAGAGAAAATATATTTGCCTGAGATATTTTAGAGATAAGGACTCATGTAGTCCAGGCTGGACTCAGATTCATAATATAGACAGGGACAACCTTGGACTTCTAACTCCTAGTTTCTCAGTGCCATTTTTAAAAAGAATGCCTTGGTGAGGCCAGAGGTCAGCTGAGGAATCATTCCTCAGGAAAATTTCATCTTGTTTCCTGATAAAAGATTTCTCTCAGGCCTGGCGCTCTGCTGGCCAGTGAGCCCCAGTGGAGGGAGACCTAAGTTTCATGAAGAATAGTGAGAACAGATAACCTGAGAATTCCAGTAGAAGAGGCTGAAAAGAAGGCCACAAGGCAGATGACCTTGGAATTTCCATGTGGAGTTTAAGTCTACTAGGGGAAGAACAGTGGTAATGAAGGGAAAGGCATTTTGTTGGTTAGGGAGCTAAGACCAGCCTGGAATAGGGTATTCTAGTGAGCCAGAGAGGCGAATGAGGAGGAAGGCAGTTTAGGGTGAAACTACAAAAGAGCCCAGTGGTCAGGCTGGAGAATGGAGCCTCTACCTCTCTGGATATGTTCAGGAAATCAGAGTTGTGAGAAGACTATTCAAGTCTCTATGGATGGAGGATACATTGGAATGATGGAGCCATGGTGGGAGTGAGATGGATGGAGCTGTCCAGCAGTGGCCATGTGAGTGGTCACATCAGGAAGGTGGCAATATTTCTGGAGCCCTTAGCATCAGAGCCTGGATGCTGACATCTCCAACAAGTTACGGTTGTTACCTGTCCTCTAGAAGCCAATAAAAGGGACAGGTAATGGTGGGAGGCTGAGAAAATTTTATTCAAGGTGTCTATATCAGGAGAAAAGAGGTTCACTGACACCTCCTCCATTTCCATCTTCATGTTTTGATAAGATGTTTAAATTTAAATAAAAGGCAAGACATATGCATAATTTATCGTCGGTCTGGTCAAGGTGTGGTCCCATCTACCATTAACCCATCATTGCTTTGGCTCCTAGTCACTCCCATAAGGAAATTTGGTAAGTTGTCAGAACTGTGTGAAAACCCTTCCTTGGCCGGCACCAGGAACCCAGCTTTCTCCTTCTTTGAGCAAGAGAGTTCTGGGGAAAATCTAATTTCTTGAAGAGCACTGTTTCAATAGTCTAACAACTGAAGGGAGTGGCGGGAGTGTCTTCAAAATGTTCTCATCCCTGCCAGGATGGTTTCAGGAGCACCAATCAAAGGATGTAGCGTCAGCATGTAGGTGCTTGGAGGGGTGTTAAAGCTCTACCCCAATCCTATAGTTAATAATGTAACAATTGAATTGGGTCGCCATGGTACAAGTTAGTTATAAATACTGAAACTCAGGAACTGTAGACTAACATGGAAATCAAGCCTTCTCGCAGAGGAAGATCCAGCTTAAAAGCATCAGACTGTTGCTTCAAAACTACTTACTTGCTGTGCCTTTTCACAACCCCGGCAGAGAACAGTGATACCAGCCAGCTCTCAAGAAACAACAGACTTGATTTCCAAGCCAACATCTCAAACGCAGCATCTTTGAAAGGTCTGCAGCACTCCACGTATCCTGCCAAATAGGCATCGTGTTCTAAAAACCATCATATTCCAAAAGTCATGTTAATTTTCCCACTAGGCCAAGGACCTGTGAAGGGGGGAGGGGCAGCTTCTTCAGATGTCACAGAGAGAGAGCTATGCTGGAGGGACAATTGCAGAGGAACAAACAGCTGTGTGTCTCAAATGATCAATCACAAACTGGAACAACCTGAAATCATCAGAGGTCCATGATGATGAAAATAATGATCTCAGGACAAGGGATACTTAGTGGCTGGCAAATTTAGGTACAAAATAAATATTCATCTACATCCAACTGGTAACTTTCGAGTTCTGGTTGTTTTAAATGGCTGAGACTATTACCTGGAACAGCGGGGATACTTTGAGAGAGCAAGGGGGAACACATCATTCATCTTCTATTTTAATTTCACCACAATTGCGTACAGAGTGGCATGCTACAATTGTGAACGATACACGGAGGGTATCTTTTTTACATTCCAGAGTATCTCACTATTTGGGAGGAATTGTTCTCTTACTGGAATTGTTCACAAAGCAACCTATTATATGGTGAGAGGGACCCTCCAGGCACCATTGAAATTAATATGAAAGGAACAATCCAGAATGCCAAGCGCAGTGCATAAAACGTAGGTAGGTGGTGGAAGAGAGATAAGCAGCCTGGGAGGGTTAACTTGAAGAATCCGAAGCTGCAGAAGGATGTGTTATGTAATTTACATTACAACCAGTCACGATTTCAGAATGGGTAATGAAAAGCTCATATAGTTAAGGATTGAATCCATAAAAGCCACAAAAAGCCACGCAGCACAAGGGAACTCAACGATGGGTAAACAGACAAAGAAGGAAATCAGAGAGCAGGGGGAGGATGCTGGACTTGCTCTCACAGATTCATCTGGTCTTGGCAACTTCACCCGCATGCTGCAGGTTTCGGTTGGTCTCCAGGTGGGTTGGTTTAAAAGCACGCTTTGGCAACCTTTGCAAGCCTGACATTTGGGGCCAGATTGTTCTTTGTGGCTAGTGGTGGTGGGTGGGGGTTGTTGGTGAATGGTGGGATGTTTAACAGCACCCCAGACCTAAACCTCCTGAATACTAATAGCACCCTACAATCATAACAACTAAAAACACTTCTGATGTTACCAAGCTAAAAGTTACCAGTCACCCCCATGGAAGGCGACATTGTCTGTCCCCTTTGCTTAAAGGGAAGCAATGGCTAGATAACTCCAGGACACTATCTTACCTTGTAATGGATGCATATCCCTTCTTAAAGATTTACTTTTAAAATGTTATGTGCATGTGTGTTTGTTTGTGTCATGCATGTGAGGGTGCCTGTGGGGGCCAGAAGAAGGTGCCAAATCCTCTGGAGCTGGAGTTACAGGTGGCTCTGAGCTGACATGTGGATACTGGGGACTGAACTCAGGTCTTCTGCAGGAGCAGCAAATGCTCTTAACTATTGAGCCCTTTCGCCATCCCTCACTTTAACATTTAAGGAAGACTAATTAATATACTGTTAATGTTGTTAAAAAAAATAAAAAACAACCAAATTCATCTAGAAGGTAAACCGATCATACTTTAATCAAAATCTATATGCATTCTAGAAAAATTGTTGCACAAATCCTAAATGGTCCTACAATAAGAGCCCAGAGCCAGATATTGGGGTAAATGCTGAAAGATCAGAGAAAACAAGCCACAGACACTTCTCAGCTTGCCAACTCCTCCGTGAATCCTCAGACTGAATGCCTGAGTCCTCAACTGAAAAGACTCTCGCTCCTGTCTCCTCCCACCTTATATGCCTTTCCCTGCCCAGCCGTAACATTTCCTGTCTCAACCTTCCTCGCTCTGGAATTAAAGGCGTGTGTGCTTCCAAATACTGGTAGCAAAGGCATGAGATCGCAAGTCCTGGGATTAAAGGTGTGTGTCACCACTGCCTGGCTTTGTCTCCCTTTTAGACTGGATTAATCCCGTGTAGTCCAGGGTGGCTTTGAACTCACAGAGATCCAGATGGATCTCTGCCTCCCAAGTGCTAGGATTAAAGGTGTGTGTGTCACCACTGCCTGGCCTCTATGTTTAATCTAGTGGCTGGCCCTGTCTTCTGATCTTCAGGCAAATTTTATTTGTTAACGAGCAAAACAAAATATCACCACAAAAAAATCTCTTTGCTGATTTCTGCACCCAGCCTATCTTAAAACAACTGGGAAAGTGTTTGGTCTCCTGTCCATTCACATAACAAGCAATGTTTTGTCACAGACTAAAACCACATGCTGGCACTCTCCTAGGACACAGCAGCAATAATAGTGTAATTGCACGCTTCACTTGGTGACATGTAAAAAGAAAAATGTAGCTTACTTCACAATGAAAGGGAAGAGGAGAGGCAAGTGAGAGGCCTGTGGACAGGACAAATGCCTCAGGGTCAGTCCCATAGTCAATAGGACGTCACAGGCATAAAGAGATTCTTCCCTGGTAAGCTGCTCTTCAAGACTGCATGCCGGCTGCATGGCTATTGCTGTGATTTGGGCTCTCTTTTCCTAAATAGAAATAGGACTAGAGCATTAATTCCATGAGGGCAGGAATGATGGCTCAGTGATGGTCATCTTTGTGTCTGTACCGCCCAGCCTGGTGTCTGCTCTGTAGAGCAATCAGCTAATGCTCTGTGAATGAATGAGTGAATGAGGACAGAAATGTTCACTTTGAGGCCCATGGGTTACAGCGTTAACTTCTTAACACGTCCTCCTCTTATCTCTATGCTGCAGGCAGCTCCATGGTTGGCCCATAGTCGGTGGTCAATGAATGTGGAACCCTGTGTGTGAGGACTCTGCCTGTGTTGCTCAGGCAACAAAAGCCCTCTAGTTTCTGCTCAGGCAAGCATACTGCCTGAGTCCTTTGTCCTGGCTGCAGAGCATGGTGTGACGATCCTGTTTGCCCGCTCAGAAATGTCTCTGTGCCGCAGAAGGAGCACACTCCTCCACCAAGACCCCGATGAAGACATAGTGTGGGGGAAGACTTCTTCCACACATGCTTTATGAAAGGATAGGAAGGGTAACACCACTCAGTGATCAGTGGATGATGGTTCGTGCAGGTGTGGGTCTTCATCATCCCAGTCCCATTTATCGGGAATTTCTAAAATAGCCACTCATGCGCAGAACGTGACTTTACCGTCATGCTGTAGTTTGGGCAAAGACTGTGCAAATGTAATCATATGAGCCATTGAAGAGTTTATCCTAGTCTTAAATGGCATTATCTGTCATTTTGAGACTTTAAACATCTCATCTCCAATGAAAAATCAAAATTGGGCCCAAGAAGCAGAGTGTCTGGAGGAATGAAGGGAGTATGGCTCCTGGGAAGAAACAGAAACTCTCTCAAAGATGAGGGCCCAGCAAGTGGCATGCACTATTACACATTAGGCTGGTGAAATGACAGTGCCCAGAAGCTACTGTGAATGGTAATGACAGGCAATAAAATACCCCTTTAAAATTCCAGCAAAAGATCAAGGCAGTAGATTGTAGCGAGGCTGTAAAAACCAACCACTAGCAGATTAGCACAAGCAGGGCGAGAAAACCCAACTGAAAATTATTCAATCATACCAAATGCTGCAGGGAAATGAGGCCAAGAAAGCAATCAAAATCAAATAGGAGCTAGGTGTGTTTAGATCGTTCAGTGGTTCAAATACACTGCAGAGCTGGTCCAGGGGTTCCAGCCCCAAAGTAAGGGGGGAAATGAATGAAACCTTCACTAGGAGAAAAACTGACCCAGGGCCTCTCTGTTCCCATCCCACCAGCCCAAGTGGTCTCACTGGGAGAATTCTAGTCCCCTGGAGAAGTCTAAGATGCCCTCATAAGACACAACATTCATCGTGCAATTTCGTTGAGCTTGGTTCTACAACATGCGTGACAGACCTCTTGAATTAATTGCATTCAGTGTTTTCAGTGGTAGAAGATTCCTGACTCATATAGGCAGTAATTACCTTTAATGGCATTCACAGGTCTTTGATGATAAATTAGGCAACAACGATAATTTGATAGCTAAGGTTGCAGTTAGTCAGAGGTACCCTAAATGACCTATGGAAGTTACTTTAAAAAAAAATGTCTAAAATTTACACAGGTTAATTGCATTAAAGATTCCATACAGTTACAGCAGAGATGTAGTTCTATAAATAAACTAGCGTGGCCTTCTTTTAATAATTGCTTAACTTCTCCTGAAGAGGTGGAATTACACATGCTGGTGAGTGGGAAAGGCTCAGACTTTCACTGAGCTCCACAGTGTCACTCATCACTCTATTTCCTGCTGGTCCTGTGCAGTGATACAACTTCTTGTTCCACACTGGAGGGAAATGGAGGTGGTGGGGGTGTGGCTTCTTCCAGGAGAGGCTTGCTCTTTATCTCACCAACGACAAGGGAGGATTTTGTGTGAATGAGATACCTATCAATGTGCTCTGGGTGAGTCAGAAGCTGGGGTTGGCTGAGGGGACACCAAACATCTCCTTACCCATTCTGAAGAAACCTGCTGGGCCTTGGGGTTCCAGTGGAGCTGACTTCAGAGTCTAGAAAGGAATGCCTGGCTCTGGCCAGCCTCTTACAGCACAGAGTGATGCTGTTAAACCAAGAACCTCTTTTCCTGGGTTCTCAAGAACCAGAGGAGGAATTGTGTTGCTTCATGTGAGGTAAACTTGCCTGAGAAAGGAATGACTGGTTGGTGGGAGAGCGGGAGGGAGACACTGCCTCCCAGAGCATTTAACTACCCAAAGCCAACTCAGTGTCTAAAAAGCAGTTGTTCTCATCCACTAAACTCTCTGCGCTTTTCCAGTTCTGTTAGTTTTCCCAGTGTCCCAGTCTTGCTTCCTGATCCCATCTAAGATAACCTGTTACGATTTATACCTGAGGGTCTTTTGACTTCTCCAGATGGTGGCAGTTTCTCATATTTTCCCTTTTTTCGTGTTGATTTTGACCGTTCTGAGGAGTTCTGGTCAGGTATTTTGTAGGACATCCTACAGTTTTGTCTTAATTGTCTTTTCTCACGGTTAGATGGGAAGTATAGGTTTGTGGGAGGAAGACTGGGTTCTAAGTGACCTTCTGAGCTCATTTTGTACCAAAGGTATACAGTCAATCATTGTCCTTGAGTGTCTTCCCATCCAAGACCCTCAGGGACATGCTGATTATAAGCAGGTTGGGTTTTGGGTCCTTTCGATGAAGGAGGGCACACACCTTGGAGAACTGTGAGGTGGCTTGGCAGAAGGATGTCAGAAAGAATCCAAGATGGGACAGGCTTTTGCTGGGCTATTTGGAGTAGGTCTAGAGAAGCAGAGGTTTCTATGGCAACATAATGCTGTTAGAAAGCAGGACAATTCTATGATTGGGTCTCTCAGTAAATCTCATCTGTAGGGTTGAGAGACTAGTACAAATCTCACTAAAAATAAAAATGTTACTGAAAAATGACCATCCAGATAGGAAAGCACTATCAGTGATCTATTTCCCATGACTACAATAAAGTGCCAGAGCCCCATGAGGTACTTTGTGAAGATAAGGAGTTTGCTCAGCCCAACATTTGAAGAGCATAGTTCAGGTTCTGGTGAGTGCTCACTGGCTGTTTTAGCTATGGTGGATGTATCATGGCAAGAGTGAGTGTGAAAGGAGCCATCATTTGGGGTGTCAGGAAGTCACGGATAGGGAAGGGGCTGGGCTCACCCTTTTAGAAGTTTCTGTTATGTAACTGACACCCCTAAAGAACTTGATCCCTCTGACAATGGTTCTGACCATGGCCTAATTATCTCCCCCAGACTATGCTTTTTGAAGGTCTCACCATCTTCCCAAATCACTATACTGGGAACCAAGCCTTCAGCGCAGGGGCTGTTAGGGGACACACTCAAGTCCTATCTTAACTATACCAGCCACACATACCTTACCAACTCAGGCCTCAGTATGTATCCTGTTAGATTTCTGAACCACTCAGTC